GGACTCTTGAGGTATAGGGAGCATGAATTCAAGGCTGCTTGACGTAGAGGGGAGTATGTTGAGAGGATTCTGAGGTAATTATGGGATGGAGGTGGACAGCTTAGCTAAGCGGAAAGCAGGGTTAGGGTTAGGGAGCAGCTGGGCCTCAGGAGCCAGGGACTCAGCCTAGTTTTTCTCACTTGGTTTGGTCTGGGTTTCTGTGCATGGGAAGAATCACAGCTACGTGCAGTCTCCACGGCTTGCGGCTCCAACTGGAGAAACACTGGGGTTTTCCTTAATGTACAAGGTCCAGATATTGAGGGGAAGGGTGCATTAAACAGGTTAAGTGCCCAAGATTTCCAAAGTTGAATGATTGTAAAACCTTTCAGTAATACGGACTTTTATCGCTTTCCTGAAAGGAACAGTTAATGATTGATTATTTGATCAGTCTTACATGTCTATGTTTGTTTTCCTGAGAAACCACTTTGAAAGTATCAATATGTAATACAACAACCATTGTTAATTTCCTACCACTTTGTCTGCAATTCAGTATTGCTTTTATTGTTGTTATGCTATTATGTAAATGGGTATCTGTTAATATGTTTTCATTGTTTTATTTTTAAAATAAATTTTAAAAAACAAAAAAATATACTCAGGACAATCATCTCTTATATTTAAAAAAACCCTTTCAAATGTATTTCTTGCCTAGCATCATAAAATACTGGATTTATTTTTAAATTGAGCATCATGTGGTAAGAGCTGTGTTGTGTTTGTGTGTATAGCTATAAGGGTGAATAGAATGGGTTGTCTTCCCAGTAGCGCTATGCGTGGCGTGGTAAACTGGCATAAATTCACATTATTAAGCATGTTAGGTACAGTAGAGACATCATGATAGTGGGGATGAGGAAGATGGGTTTCCGAAAGGTTTTATACAGAATAGTATTACCAGATGTTTGCTTGTGGATGAGAGGAGGAGGGCATTATTCTCAGCAAGTAGAGTAGCATGTGCAGTGGCACAGAGGTGAGAGTGTCTGGGGAGGGTGTCACCCACAGTTCCACAGCTGGGGTGGAGAAGTTGTATGAAAAGTCAGGAGTGGAGACATGAATGGGAATCAAGGGCCAGAAAATAATAAACTGTGTGTGATCTGGCTGAAGAGTTTGAGCTTCATTGGATCAGTGGAAAGCAGTTGAGGAATTTTCAAATAAGGGGCCGTGTATCCCTCCTAGTATTTAAGTAAAATAACTGAGTGTGGGCAGTGAGTTAAAGGGAAGGAAGAAAGGAGTGGGATGCCTTTTAGAGAACTTTACAAGGGCTTCCTTGCTCAAAGGGCTAAATTCAAAAGTATTAAGGAGACAGAAAAAAAATCAAACTTAATGACCACATTTTTTTCTTGAAGTTGTCGTCTTCTTCCTGCTCAACACCTGTCTCTTCCACTGGGATTTCTGCCTAGTTAACTGCTCTCTATACCTTACACACACAAACATACACAGTTTGTAAGTCATCCATTACTTATTCATCATTTCTGAAATGACTATGTCTGTAATTACTATACTATAAACTCTGTAAAAACATCAACTTCGTTTGTCATTTTCAGTATCATCCCTAGACTCTAGTATAGAGCCTGGCATGTGGAAATTCATTGAATGCTTGGACTGCTGTGAAACTTGAGAGCAAAAGTTTGTAATACTATCAGTAGGTAACAAATTTGAGAGATTGGGGACCTTGGAGCTTTCTGCATTTGATGGTGACTGAAGTCAGGAGCAGATGAGATTGCCCACATAAGTCTGCATGGAGTGGGAGAGAACACTGAAGAACCGCACCATCAGTAGTAGAAAAAAGGTCACAGCTGAAGTGTCTGGGAAGCTGCAGATAGAGAGTTAAAGTAAAGACGAAGACTTAGAAGGAGAACTTCAAGAAGGATGGTGTGGAGATAAAGGGGGAAGGATAGCAGAGAGTGAAGTGCCAGCATTGTCAGATACTGTAGGAAGATCACAGAAGGTAAGGATGGAAGAGTATTCATTGGCTTTTGGAAGCTTAGCAAATGACTACAGTAATGAATATTTTCACTAGCTTCATTATAGGATATAATCTGCCAAAAAGGCACAGTTATAACTGTCATGAAAATATAAAATGGGCAGGTCAGGTATCAACTTACTCAGTAAAGAAGGAACCAGTAAAATGGTAAAACAAGACCATAGAAGAGAAGGTAAGTGTTTATAGGTGTTACGATGTGAACACTAGGTTAGATGGCCAGAGCTAACCAGTGGCCAACAAGGTGTAAACTGTAACCTTGGTTAGTTTTTCACTATGTAAAAACTGTATGAACCTCTATGAGATAGTAATTGACAATTTAATGTCACCAATATTGGGATCTTTAACCAGTGAGAGCAAGTTGAACAAATAAATTTGCCCTATAATCTTTGGGTGGCTTTTGCATCCAGTGACGTTTCAACTTTGTTACTTGTTTCTGAGTTTTAGACAGTTTTTCTGTCATACCTGTACTTTTACAATCTGTGGAAGTGTAGGCGAAGACTGAAAACCTTGAATAAGCCCTTGGATAAAGCTGATGTTGCGGGGCTGGGGATTTAGCTCAGCGGCAAAAGTGCCTGCCTGGCAAGCGCAAGGTCGCGAGTTTGGTTCCCGGTACCGGAGAAAAACCAAAAAAAAAAAAAAAAAAAAAGGCTGATGTTGGCTTCGTTTTATGAACCACTAAATAAGAGAATACTGAGTGGCCCGTCTGAGCCTGGAACCCATTACTTCCTGATGATACCCATCCATGGGTTTTGTGATTTTTGTTTATTTCTCAATAGTTTCCAGCTGCTTTGCAAAGAGAGAGGTCACTATTAGATCTAGGTGGAGAGTTTCCCAGGCAGATGCTCAAGTAGTACGTAGTATGTAGGGAGCAAAAATACCAGGAAGAGTGTAGATAGTTAATATACTGGGCATGAGGTCCAGGGTGAGTAGGAAGAGAAATGAGGCCAAGATGAGCTTCATAGAGAAGTAGAGAAGTAACGTTCACAGAAGGTGTGCAGCGGCTGTAAGAGCTGAATGGCCAAGTGACTGACCAAGTGAGACGTAATATGTCAGAAGCGAAGAGTAATTTCTACAGTGGCTAAAATAAAATTTATCTCAGGGCTTGTGGCTCTGAAAGTGAGCTACTGAAGTGGAGCTGAGGTAACTAGTGACCATTACTTTCTCATGAATTTATATTATTTATAAAGCACTAGATAGTAGCTTTGGAATAGAGGTATATTTTATAAAATGATGAGCAGTTTTTGTTTAGCTTTAGCTAGGTTGTAGCCAGATATACTCAATCAACATGCATTGAACAAAAGCCTGTCTGGTCTCTTCTTAGTGGTGTTTTTGTACTGTTCTGGTAATAGTGCCTGTATACATTTGTAGAGCATATTAGTATGGCTTAGGCTCTTGCTGCCAGGTGTTTTCATATAGTATCTTGTTTAATTCTTACGCTTTGAAGTTTGAACTGTTAGTATCCCAATTTTACAGATGGCAAAATTGAGGACTAGTGGTGATAGATAATCTTCTCAAGGTCATAGTGGCAAATAGAGCATTTAAATTTGTTGTATGACTCCCATTTGTTTAACCATTATGATCTAGGTAGTGTATGTGCTTGGTAAGTGTTGAGGATTTATATATTACATTCCTTCATGTAATTCAATTTTATAAATTATTATATGTGCAGAGGTGAGTTTTGGCTTAAAAACATTGAAGATAGGAGCGATTTATTTGCCTGAAAGTTGCAGTGTTGACTCTCTTGATTCTAAGTACATGTCTACCTGGTATACTGAACTAAAATAAGTAAAAGAAAGGAGCAGTCAAACCTTAAAGAAACATGAAGGTGTCAGGCATGCTGGTACACACGTGTAATCTCAGCACTGGAGAGGCTGAGGCAGGAGGGTCACTGTGAGGTTGAAGTCACCCTAGGCTACATAGTGAGTTCAAGGTCAGTCTGGAAATGTAGCAAGACCCTTTCTCAAATTCTGGGCAAAGCAGAACTGTGGATACAAAAAAAGAAAAAATAAATTTAAAAAAATGTTGGCAGCAGGAGGGTATATAGGTAGAACACAGACAATTTTTAGGACAGTGAAACTCCTCTGTATGATACTATAAAGATGAATGCATGTCATTATGTATATTCATCCAAAACCATAGACTATTTAACCTCAAGAATTAACCCTGGGGGCTGGGGATTTAGCTCAGCGGCAAAAGCGCCTGCCTGGCAAGTGCAAGGTCGTGAGTTCGGTTCCCGGTACCGGGGGAAAACCAAAAAAAAAAAAAAAAAAAAGAATTAACCCTGATGTAGAATGATGTACTCTGGGTGGTATGTCAGTGTAACTTCATTGGTTGTAACAAATGCACCTTCTGGTGAGGAGTGTTAGCTCTGAAGGAGCCAGTGAAGGTGTGGAGCAGAGGGATGTGAGAAATGGTGGATCTCTGCATCTGTCATTCAGTTTGGCTGTGAACCTAAAACTGCTCAGAAAAATAAAATCTATTTTAAAGGGGCAAATTTCTGGTATGTATATTTTATCATTATCACCACAAAAAAGTGCAGGGATGGAGAAGGACGTACCATATGACTGCTAATCAAAAATAAACTACAGTAACTGTATTTTAATTTCAGATAAAGTTAACTTCAGAAAAAAAAAATTAGGACGAAGGAGATATTAAGTGAAATTAAAGTACTGCTTCCGTTATCTGTTTGAGACATGCAGGACACAAAGGAAGAAACCTCACAGTTATAGGACTTCTGGCCTCAGAATTCACAGCACTACTAAAAACTTCACTGTAGCCAGTGAAATTGCATGTGTGAGTTAACTGTTGCAACTTCATTCTTTCGAAGTTTTTTTCTACTCCCTAAATACTCCACCTTTTTTTTTGTTTTTCATTTTATTGTAAGATCTCACAGATGTATTACAAGATGTGACAGAAGTGGTGCTTATTTAGAGGAAGTACTGTCAGACTCACCAGGTCACAGTGATAAAAACAAAATTCTTGAAAGCTCTCTGCAATTACGATGAGAGGTACATTGCTCTTCTTTTTCGACATATTTGTGCAAGCTTCCTGCATTTGTGTTCGCTGCTGTGAAAGGAAGTATTTTTGCAAGTCATGTATCATTAACAGTCAGTAATTAATACATATTTATTAGTAATATGACTAAAATATGAATGTGGCTAAGGGGCACATGTAATCATTATCAGAACTACATTCTTATCTATAAAACACTAAATTTAGAATTTAACTAGAATAGCCTACAATAAGTCTGCATTTCGAGTTGTGTTATTTTATTGTCGTTTGAGTATATCAGTGTTCTTTCTGTTTTCTCTAGGGATGAGTAGTTTAAAAATCATCATGTTCTTTTCCTGGAACAGTATCAAAAGTTGTATCTAGCTTAACACATCTGCCCTTACACTGTTCAGGCGAAGTGAACATGTGTTCTATGAGTAATCCCCTAGATACATCTGCATCTGAGCAAAGGAGCACTGAGACCAAATTTCAGGGGTTTTCTACTGAATAAGACTAAAATTCAAAAATTACACTAACGGCTTTCTATCCTTTATGTCAGTTATAGTCCACTGCAATCCATCTAGGGGAGGAGAAGGTAGATAAGTTGACAGGGATGCTGGTGAAGATAGAGTTGGAAAAAGAGATGGTGTGTTGGCGTGGCTGGTGAGAGTAAGAACTGGACCTCTGGCATCTATTTGGAAGTTAGTTTCCCAGTTGTAGTAGTTTTTGTCACTCCTGCCTCGTGATGGTAGGTAAGTAGGTGGTGTGTCCTGGTCACAGATCATTGCTCTTCCGAGCGTAGAACACTAATCAAATTTGCGTATCCTGTTGATAGCCTTTCCCTCTATGTTAAAAGCTCTTGATGCAGAGAAAAAAATAATTTGAGATCTGAGGAGTAATAAGGATTTATTCATCTTTAACTTGAAAAAGAAAATAAAGCATTCTGCTTATTTTAAAACTGGAAAGTGGGAACGCAAACCTTTTTTGCGTAACTGCTGGCTTTTGGGAGAAAACTGTTCCCTGGATTGACCCTTGGTGAGGAGAACAGCAGTACCCTTTGGGCCAAATGAGACTGAGCCAAGCACTAAGCCAGATTTTCAGCCTGAGATTTCTTAACCTGTACTCTAAGTTAGCACTTCTCAAACTCAGCACTGTTTGCTCTCAGAGCCCATTATTTTTTGTTCTGGAGACTGTCCTGTTCCCTAAGGTATCTCAGCAGCATTCTTACCCTTTCCAACTCGATGTCAGCAGCATGCCTTCCCCCACTTGTGACAACTAAAAATGTCTCTAGATGCTGCCAAGTGGGAGGTGAAATCACTCCTGGGGATCTCGAACCTCCCTTTTGAGAAACTCCTGTAAGTGTGTTAGATGATTTGCTGATAAAGAGCATTTTCCAGGCTTTAGTTTTAAATATTTTGTCATATTTCAAGAATTTTGGTACAATAACTGTAAAAAGTAACCTGGAAATACAGTGTTACTTTGGAAGTGAAGGACAGAGTCACCTTGATTTGAGAATTCAGTATTACGACCATTGAGTGGTGAGTTCTGTATTTTTTCAGACTGCAAGTGGGAGGCCATTACTGGGTCAGGAATATGCATGTGGAAGTGTACAGGGTTACACTGTGAAATGTCTCTTTTCAGAATAACAGACAAACATGCAAAGCAGCTGGCCTAGTGAATGCACAACTTTTTCTTTTGAACCAGATTATTCTAAGCATTTACTCCATATCAGTAGGTGACAGTTATGCTATTTATCTAGTCAAGTTGAACTTACTAAACGCTGTATTCTTTGAAATGGGGAACATTCAGCCTTGTCCGTAGCAGTAGACCAGAGACTTGACTTGAACCTCTGGCGTCTAGTATATACCATCTTGCTTGCAAGACGAGGGAGCTGTGAGCTCAGTCACGTAGTTTGGAACACTCGTGGCACACTTCTTGTGGACTGTTCATGCCCTCTGGCTCCCACGTAAAATTCTGAAAAAAAAGCTCCATTTTAATTTTCTTCATCAGTATGCATGCAGAAGTCCTGTTCTTGTTACATTTTATTAACATACAGAATTTATGTTTTACGGTATAAAGGACAAGAAACATTGTATTTATTGAAAATCAAACAGAAGCATAAAGACATCTAAAATGACTCTAAAGTCCTACTTGTATTCTTTTTGTAAAGTACATTTTAAAATAACCTTGGGTTGAGTAATTGCCTATTGGCGGTGTGTTAAATGAAGCAATCTGCCATCTTAAAGTTACGGAACCAACACTTCCAGTCACCTTAAAAGCTGCCTTACTTCTGTTTGGTAAAGAAAACACATTTATATTTTGAGTTATTTCATGTATCCAGTGGTTTTTAAAGATTGAAACGTTTCCAGCAAACACATTTTCATTTTCTGAGTAGTAAGAGAACATTTCATATTAGTTTCATAATATTAGAAATGATTGCAGGATAGTTGTTTTTTCTCTCTGAGGAAAAATGTTAATGATGGTTTGAAAGATTGTTTGTCTTTTAATTTATTTATTTTCACAGTAGAGGCTTGTATGTTCCTATGTTTTTAATTTAGATGATACCCAGCAGAGATATTCAAGGTGTTTTCATGCTGGTTTCAGGGAAAGCTTGTGGGTTTCTTTTTCTATTGTATCATATCCTGAGTTACATATTTTTAAAGCGATCCATGGATGTATCAAACAAAATCTCACACGTTTATTTCATTTTGCCCTTACATATTTTTATATTGAGTTTCTGTGTTTTGCATGAAATGAAAGCAGGTGTAGAAAGTAGCTGAAGTTTCATGTGGAGTTAAAGTGAAGTTTTATATGATGGTCAATTAGGAAACCAGATTTTAGTATTGGCCCTTAAAAGTAGACGAGGGATGAATACTAATACAAATTCAAGAGTAAAAATTCCTCATCAGTAAAGGGTACAACTTTTAAGTGTTGTCATAAGCGATGATTTGCTTCTTCGTTAAAGTTAGCTTGAGGCTAGTGTGGAATTACGTTTTCATAACATTTCTCTACTCATAACATTAATATCTTTTTACCATCTACTACTTACTAGGTTCTGTGTACCATTTCTGTGTGTAGGCTTTTTACAGAGTTCATCTGTTCTAGTAAGTGATGTCAGCACTGTTAAAAATACTAAATGAAGAAAATTCTCTTAGCGCTCTATGTCCACGTGAGGTTGGGACTCAGCAGCGTCACGCTTGATACAGCCTTTTGTGTAAGTGCTGAACTATTCCAAAACACGGTTAGAAATAACTTTTAAGGAGAAGATGCTGTTATTTTTGAAGTATACATTTGCCGTCCTGTTAGAGATTTATTTGAATCCCATCATTACCTATATATTCGTCATCCTGTTAAGAGGATGTGATTCATTTAAGTCCCATTGTTAATGAATGCTGAATAATACAGTTGGAGCAGCAGCTGAAACTTGTAAATGAACATTTATTTAATCAGTGCCTCCTGCATACTCAGTAAAAAAAAACCATAATAAAATGAGGGATGTAAATATTTCATCTTTACAAACAGTAAGCTACTTTATTTAAGTTCAGTTGCTGAAAAAATATCTGGAGCAAATAATGCCCCTACCATCATATAAAAGTAATTTTTTCCTAATCTTTAATAAGGTATTAAACTGTTATTTTCTCTTCATTCTATAGGGAAAAAGTAAATCTTTGGAGAAGGAACTACAAAGCAGTCAAATTTCAGTACAATATAAATTTAAACTTCAAAATCAACTACTTTCAAAAGGAATGATTTGTAGTCAGTCATAGGGTCAGTTATCTGCATAATTGTTAGTATGCATTAAATGTTTTTAAGAAATAATTCTGCTTCTCAGAGATTTTAGGAGCTTTTGATTGTAAATAAATAGATAAAGCTGTGCACATTTTTAAAATTTTACATTTATCTTGAAGTTAGTATAAATTGATACTCTTTTAAATGTTTGATTATGATGCATTTATATATTTTTAACTATTTGCTAAGTTGTTTTTACTTTTATTTGTCCAGATTGCAATGTTCTTTGAATTTATAAATGATATAACTAATCATTATTTGAATCTGACTTGGTTTTTCTTGGCTCTTGTGAGTAGGTGTGCTAAGAAATAAGTCATGTGTTTTATTTTCTGTAAGGATATACTGGTGGTATAAAATACCTGATGTCATACATATTTTTAAATCATACAGAAAGTCGTGATTACTCATACGTTTAAGATGTAAGAACAGTTTATCACCCCACTCTGTTTTTCAGGTGATGGATGTGGACACACTGTGCTAGGCCCTGAGAGTGGAACCCTCGCGTCCATAAACTACCCGCAGACCTACCCCAACAGCACCGTGTGCAAATGGGAGATCCGTGTCAAGATGGGAGAGCGAATTCACGTCAAATTGGGTGATGTTGACATTGAAGATTCTGATTCTTGTCACTTCAGTTACTTGAGGATTTATAATGGAATTGGACTTGCCAGAACAGAAATAGGTAGGACATTTTCTTAGAAATTTACGTGTAGCACATGGTTGCTTTAAGTTTTAAAACTAAAGCAGTTTCATATTTAACACTGAATAGCTGCTGCATGGGTATGTGAGAAATTATTGAAAGTGTGTGGAAATCTCAAATTTGAATCTTTTGGGAAAGGAAGGTTCATGTCTATTTATTCTTCTAATGAGTTTACGTTGGTACCTTTGCACAGGGTGCTACTGTACTATAAAAAGGGAAGAAACGATTTCTTTTTTTGTATTTTCTGTTGATCATTTTATTTACAATAGGGAATACAAGCATTATTCATGCTTAGGAGACAGTGCAGCAAGAACATGGGTTTTGGATCCAGAGTGCCTGAGGTTAAAGCCTCACTGCCATTCACTGACTGTGTGACCTTGGGCACTTCATTTGACCCATCTGTTTTCTCATTTATAAAACAGGGAATTCAACTAGTGCATGTAAAGTGCTTGGAATTATACCAGACACATAATATACCTTTAGTTAATAGTAGCTATCATTGTTACTCTTGTTTCAAAGCAGTGGTTCTCAATTATAGCTACATACTGTGGTCTTCTCAGACTTTTAAAAAATACTGTGTATGTGGTTTCCTTCACAGACCAACTGAATTAGAATTGATTGGGTGAGACCAAGGTCTCAGTATGATAAAAGCTTTTCAGTAGAATTTACTTTGCAACCAAAGTGTGGAACCTTTGCTTAGAGATCAGTACCATTCTCAGGAGTAAAGTTAGAAAGATTTATAAGGCAGTTTTGGTGAAGTAATGTTAAAAAATTAAGAACTCTTGAATTTTCTTTGTTTAGAAACACCTATTGGTGCTGGTATGTAACATGTCTTTCAGGACTGTAATAGGTATGTAGGACCCGGCTCTTCAAATAACATACTGCATCCATTCTCTGATCTCCCCATCTCTGGCCAGATCTTTGACTTCTCTCCCCTGGTAACCTAGAGGAAGTCTCAGCTGTATTTCCTCGGTTGATGAATGGTAACTGATTGTCTTTCATTGGCTCTTGATTAGCGTGGTAGCTTGATCGCCACCTGCAGAGTTCCATCGATAAAAGGTGCTGGATAACTTTTAGAGATTCAGATCATCTGAGGGTGTGGAAACACTACTTCTGTGATACTAGTAGAAGACAACTAGTAAATGTGACAGTGCAGTAGAGGGTGGGCGCTAACACCTGAACATTCTTGAAACAACATTGAGGAAAGGTGAGCCCCAGCCTACTCAAGCCCCTAGTGCTTTACAGGACGTAAAAGAGATGAAGAAGTATATTTTACTGACTGTAAAGACTAAATTAAAAATAAGAGATGTTCTATAGAGAAAGTGACTTAGTTTCTTTAACATATAAATACCATTTTTAAAAAAGAAAGGAATGGGGGAACTATTGTACGTTGAGGCATATCAGCTAGAATAATGTGTGGGTCTTGTTTGATTTTTTGTTTGTTTGTTTGTTTTCTTTTTTTGTCTTGTTCGGACAGGGTTTCGCTATGTAATTAAGGCTGGCCTTAAGCTCACTTTGTAGCCCAGGCTGGCCTTGAACTGCTTTGGCCTCCTGAGTGCTGGGATTATAGGCATATGCCACCATGCCTGGCTTGTTTGATTCTTTTGAGACAGAGTCTCATTATGAAATCCAGGCTGGCCTTGAACTCATAGCAATCCTCCTGACTCAGCCTCCCAAGTGCTGGAATTATGGGCATGTGCTACGATGCCTGGCTCTTGCTTGATTCTTGAATGGAGTTAATTGACAGAAGACATTTTTAAGATAAGAGAGGCTCTGAAAATGGAAGTCAGTGGTAGAGTGCTCATCTAGCATGTGTAGATCCTTGGCTTTGGTCCCTGGCAGCACACGCACGCGCGTGCGCGCACACACACATCCTCCCTCCCTCCCTCTCTCTCTCTCACTGTCACTCACACATACTCAGCAATTTTAAAGAGGTATGAGGCATCCAGTGATAGTAAAAAATGATTTATTTTTATTTTTGGTACCAGGAATCAAACTCAGGACATGTGCTTACCAGGCAGACGCTTTGCCGCTGAGCTGTCTCCCCAGTCCAAGAATGACTATTGTACAACGATAATGTTACAATTTTATTTTTATTCTTCCTTGTTACAGGCATTCTGAAGCTCAGGTAAAATGTCTAGGGTAGGTTTTGAATATTTCTGGAGGGAAAAAGGCAGGCAGAGCAGAATGGCACAGTGGGGAAGCTACGCACAGGGCACATAAGAGTGAGCACACATTCCTCTCCTTGTGTTTTGAAAGTTCTTATAATGAAATGTTTTAAAATAAAAAGACAGGGCGGTTGTCTTTGGACAGTAAGCAGCGGTACTTCTGCTAGAGAGAAGTAGTGACGTGGGAAGATTTGGGTGTCAGGTTTTAAGTTGCTCACAGCTTCTGTGGTCATGGCTTCAGGAGTTTCCTGCGACCAGCCCCTCCTGCAGGTCACTGCAGCTGCCACACTGCAGAGTTGTCTGCTGTGCCTTCGATGGTCAGGTGAAGTAAAGCATTGCAGTGCCTGGCATGTAGTAAGTGTTGAAGGAATCTCCGCCGTTCCTTATTTGCATGGATTTTGCCTTTCCTTTGTACTCTCTTTTACCTGAATGCACACAAAGCTGCAGAAGGGTCAGAGGGCTGGGGTGGTGCTGCTCCCAGACTGCAGCTGGTGACTCCCTCCCGCCTACCATGCCCGCGCGGGCCACCCATTCCGATACTCCCGCCTACCATGCCTGCGCGGGCCGCCCATTCCGATACTCCCGCCTACCATGCCCGCGCGGGCCGCCCATTCCGATACTCACTTGTGCTTAGTGTGGTAAGGCAAGTCCCCTTGCATACCACACAGGAGTAAGGTCATGTAGGAGTGGTCCTCGTCAACACAGAAGTGCAGGTAGTAATAGGGTAGCAACATACATTGTGGGTTCAGTGTTCAGGTGAGAACGGTGCTGGGTCCTCTTCCTCACTGCCCCTTCAGAAAAGAGCCAGCTGCAGATGAGCTCCCTTTCAGTGTAACAGTAGACCTTTTTTGGTATAAAAAAATGGGGTTTTGGTTTTATGTTAATTTTAAGTATTTTTCCCCAGAGAGATGTTGTTATGGAATAATCAATAAAAGGAAATTATTTAGGAGAATTATTTCCCAAGGAATAAGTTTTTAAAATCACGAGCTTAGTAGGATGTATTTTAATGGTAAGGCAGTTTGGTGTGTTTGGCAGTTGGGCAGTTATTCTGTGTTCTCTTAGGGCTGATGTACAGGAATATTTAATCATAAGATTTAATTACGATTTTGTGTGACTACTTTCTGAATTGCTACACTGTACAGTAATTTTTGTGAAATAACTCGGTGTAGTATAGTATTGATTTCACTTGGGGACATTGATAGGCTATATATGTTTAATGTTGGAATTAAGATTGGCTGTCTAGATCTGAATTCTGTCTCTTTTTAGGCAGATTGTATTAGAATAAGAAAGTTCTAGTAATCCTTGAATTTTCCGTTTCCTTTCTCCTTTTTCTCCCTCCCCTCCCCTCTTTCCCACCCTCCCCTTCCTTCCTTTCCTTCGCCTTCCCTTTCCTTTAGATTGAACCCAGGGTTTTGCTTTATTTTGAGACAGGGTCGTGCTCCATTGCCCGGGGCGTGCTTGAACTTGCAGCCCTGCGGTCTCAGCCTCCCAGAGTGCAGCCCGGCCCCACTTACTTTTCCTTTGGCATTATTGCCCAGTTCCTCGTGTCTGAGGCAGCAGTTACTCTGGGAATGCAAAAATCAAAGTCTGAAAATTATTTGTTGTCTCAGGGTTGCCAGAGGAACAGATTTAATATCTATAATATTTTGTATGTGTACAGTATGTGTATATATAAGATACATATGTGATCTGTGAAGGGTATGCAAGGTAGGCATGCAGTGGCTCCCTGTGGAGTCGGGTAGGAGAATACAGAGGAGTGCTGGAGAGCCAGAGGAGCCAGTCAAAAGTTGAAGCCCTGGAGCTCACTGCAGCGTCCTGCAAGGCAGGAAGCTGGAGGGCCTGTGTTGGCAGGCGGAGGAGGCCTAGAAGGCTGAAGAGTGCGCTGGGAGCTTGGAGACTGTGGCTGCAGAGGCAGGGATGGAGGTGGGAGCTCCCTTGGAGAAGCAGATGGCAAGGCTTCCTTCTTCTCCTGTGCCTTCTGCAAGCCTTTTGGTTGGTGCCGCCCACACCGCCATTGGTCCCCCCCCACCGGTTTGGGAGGCCCGGCATCCGGGCATGTCCCTGACTGTGCTGTACTAACCCGCCAGGCATTTCTTACTCAAGTTGACCCCGCAGTTAACTATCAGTGTACTGTTTTTTTTGTTGTTTGTTTGTTTTGTCTTTTTGAGACAGGGTCTCACTATGCAGTTCAGGTTGGTCTTGAACTCACTTTGTAGCACAGACTGGTCTGGAAGGTGCAACAGTCTTCCATCAATTTATTATTAATCTTATTGTGACCTATATATTGCAATTCTCTTGCATTTTTTTTTCTCAATATTTAGACATCTTTTCCCAGTAGGCCTATAGATGTTTATCCTGCCCCCATATATGTTATTGATAATTAGTCCAAAGATGGAATTTTAAAATGATTAAAAATCAAACTTCCACTTATTTGTAACCCTTTCCCATTTTATGTATTTTCTTCTTGACTTTGGTCAAAAATTTCCATAAATGAACTTTTTTTGAGAAGGAAGATTCTGGGTAGTCTATAAAAAGGGAACATAAAGTTCAGTGGGTATTACAAGAAAATGTATTACATGGAGAAAGAAATTTAAAAGTGTTTATGTCTACATGTTCAAAGTTAAAGAAATACATTCTTACACCTTCATCCAAGGTATCTGTTTAAATCATGGCCCTTAAACCCTCAGGTACTTTTTATAAAGAGAGAAATTGAGGTCTTTAGAGCTTTATTTCATAATTATTCAATGTCTCTTGCATTTTAAATTTTTCTTTGTATAGTGTTTGTCCCCTTTCGCTACAATATGCTTTGGTCTT